ACCACACAGGCCCAAGTCACACCACACAGCCTTAAAAAGAGTTTAAACTACATGTCAGTGTGTCAGAGAACATGTGCTGTCATGGATATAATGGGCAGTGATAACTTGAGTAGTTTTAGTATCATAGATCTAAAAATGTTATGTTCATCACTTAAGGTGTATCCTCTTTCTCCCTCTTTCACAAGAATGGGATTTTAAAAATGCAGTTCCTAAGAAAGGGGCCTTTGGAAGGTTTTAATTCTTCTTTGAGGAATTATTTCAGAGGAATGTGTACATTACTCTAGGATGTTTATTTGTTAAAGAAAAACAAAGCTTCCTGACTCCTTTAAGATGAATTCTGTGCTTAGATTCAGAGAACAATAGTAAGCGCACTTTCTCCTCTTGATTGCACCAGTAGAGGGATGGATGGAGGCTATTTTAAGCAGAACTGTAACATAATGAAATCCTCTTTACTTATAACCTAATTAGAAATGTTACGTTAAGTGGCCAAAAGACGATGTGGAAATTGGCCAGGCTTCTGTATATTTTCTTCAGGATACTTTGAAACCTCTTTCACCATTTCACAATATTTATAGATTGTGCAATTCGGGTTTAGTAACACTATAGATAGTCAGATGGCTCAGAGAACAAAACAGGAATTACCAGGAACTTAAGTGTGCATGGCATGAGGTACAAGTACATTGTTAGTGATAGTCACAAAAAATTAGGTGGAAAGTTCAGGGGGAAATTTAGGATATTTAAAATCAGCTGGGTTTTTTGTTTTTGGTAAATATGCTCTAGTATGTTAATCACAACTACTTGGCTTTCCTAAGAGTTATCACTTTTAGTGTGGTCTTCTAAAACTTTCCTTAACTAATTTTTTTGTTGTTGTTGTTGTTTCCACTCCAGTGGTTATAGATCTAGATCAAGAATCTTTTAATGATTTTCTTTCTTTCTTTCTTTCTTTCTTTCTTTCTTTCTTTCTTTCTTTCTTTCTTTCTTTCAGTTAGATGCTTCAGGGCTTGTACCTTCTGCTGTACCTACCAACACAGTCATAGTGCTTTTGTAGAAAACCCTTTGGCACGAACTGGCAAGCCTTCCTGGTGTCATACGTGTTTACTTTGGGGAAGTTACAGTGTTTGCAGTGAATGGCATTTCTTTGGATTGCCATTGATGCTGCCATCTCTTCTGAAACCATGCCTAGGCTATGGATAATAATGCTTACTGATTATTGCTTAAATAGGTCAGACATTCTATTTTACAAAGCTGTGCAGAGACGGCTGTCCTGTTTACTGCTTTCCAGCTGAACCGTGAGGATGTTTGTCTTGAGTCTGTGACCTCAGAAGAGTGACTCTGAGTCTGAAAGCCTTAGATCCAGTGTCCACATGCTAAGCAGGGAACGCCAGACAGCTAAGTGACCTCAGAGACTCAGGAGAAAGGCATGGTCTCTTTGGAGATGTGACTAAGTTACTCTGCAGACACAAGAGAGGACTGGCCAGGGAGTAGCAGAGCTAGCAAGAAAGCAGTGAGGACTTCTGAACAAGAGACTGACTGAAGGGAAGACGGTCAGACCACAGCTTTTCACTCTTTGCAGGTATTCCTTGGGGTCTGCTGTGTGTGTGGTACTTGGTCTTACAGGCACAGAGTAGAAGTCTGCTTCTGTAAAAAAAAAAAAAAAATCTTGCCAGTAATCTGAGTAAAGCAAACCTGGACAGAGGCACTGTTGGGCTTAGGGGAACATGCTGTCCTCACAGTTTTATATTAGGAATGAAAATACATGTTTTTTTCCACTTCAAATATACTATAGAAAAAGCTCGTTTTTTTCTGGCCTTGTGCTGATGAAAAAGGTAGCTATGAAAATATTAAGAGAATTGGTGCCCCTTAATTTTTAATGTAACCCACTAGGCTTGCAAACACTAAATTGAACTAGCCATTAGGAGTCAAAATTCATAGATAGTTCTAGCCTTTGAAGACTCCTTTGTGGGCCAGATGAGGTGGTTTATACCTCCAATTCTAGCACCAGGGAGGTAGAGGCAAGTGAATCAAAAATTCAAGGCCATTTTCAGCTGCTTAGCAATATAGGCTTGGGCTGCCCGAGAACCCATCTCACAAAGGAAAGAGTTGCTTTTTGAAGTGGGAGTCAGTGCAGGAACACCTATGCCTGTACTAATTTTTTGGTGTTTCTTTTGCTTTTTGTTCTTAATGACTGAAGCAAATAATTGCATTTGTGCTTTGTCCCAACTCACCTATACCATTTGAAGCAATAATAGATTATATTCGATGTTTTTTTGTATCAATCTCTGTCTCTGACAAAGAACTATGCTACAATCAGAAGAATGTTTGTTTAAGAAAAGTTATAAGATTCGGTTATACATAGCTTCTTGTTCATATCAAATAGAGACAGGATGCAGGCATAAAGGAGGATGAGAGAGCTTCAGTTTAATGACATTTTAAAAGAGCAAAAACCCATTACCCTCCATGTTGAAAATTTTAAAATTGCTAATAAGTTAAAAAAACAAGGCTAGCCGGGCAGTGGTGGCGCACGCCTTTAAGCCCAGCACTCGGGAGGCAGAGGCAGGCGGATCTCTGTGAGTTCGAGGCTGGGCTGGACCGACAGCCTCCAAAACAATACAGAGAAACCCTGTCTCGTAAAACAAAAAACAAAACAAAAACAAAAACAAAAAAAACCCCAAGGCTGACGCCTAATCTTTCCCTGGTTAGTTTGCAGATAGACAGCATACTCATCAGTGGACTAGTGGTAACACCTTCTTAGGTTATACCTCAACAGTTGGTCAGTGCAGCACTTGTGAGGGGTGTCCACAGGTCTTCTGGTCTTGACTGTCTTGTCAGTGCACAAGTGTGAAACTGGCATTTTAATGTAGGCCATTATATGTCTAACGATGTGGCTTATGAAAAGCTGACCAAGATGTATCTGCTAATATTCTTGTCTTGATTCTTTCTATTTTTGTAGACACGCACACAGAGAGAGAGAGAGAGAGAGAGAGAGAGAGAGAGAGAGAGAGAGAGAGAGAGAGAGAGAGAGAGACGGGGGGGGGGGGAAGCACTACTGAACCTACTAGGAAATTTTGTCTAAAGACTGAGACAAGAAAGTTAGCTGTAAATATAAAGGGACAGACAAGCTTATATTGAGAGTGTAGCTGTTAGGTCATTGTCCTGCCCTCCAGTCGCCTTATGTGTTCCATGCTGATGTCTCTTCCCTGGATTTCTTCTTTGTGTCAGCTTTCAGTTATGTCTTGTTTTGACGTTTCAGGCCCTTGCCCTCACATTCCTTGTTGCTGTAGAACCTGAGGGGCACCGAGTGCTGGTTGTCTATAGAAAGCCCATCTGCCTTTCTTGATTGCAGCCTCCAGTCCCTGTCACATTCCCAAGGGCTCACATGACCCCGCTGGCGTATTTAGCGCTGGGTGCTAAGGTCAGCTTTGAGGCAGAGTCAGCTTTTGGTGTGTTCACCGTGCATAGGCAGACGAGCATTAGAACAGACTCACTGACTACAGTAACCACGTCTCTGCACCCTAGGAGTGATGTTTCTGGAAAAGCCAGGGATTCAGACCAACGGAAGAGCCGGGTGGACCGTAGAGACACGCAGTACTGTGGAGTTTTGAGAGAGATGAGGCAAAGCAAGAGCCAAGCTGGGAAGGAGCAGACCTGACAGACCAAGGAGTGTAGAACAGCCAATCCCTCAGGCATTTTGAGGGAGGTACTCTGCTGTGGACAACGGGCACTTGGGGGTCTTTCAGAACTGAACGCAAAGTTCTGCGTTTGTTACTAGCTGTGTATGCGCTACCCTGGTGTTAACTGAACGTCAGTTTTTACATCTGTGGACTGGGTCTAATTTGGACTAAGACGACTCTAAATTGTAAGTGACCTAGTCATTCGAACACTAGTTACTGAGTTCCTGTCATATAGAAATTCTCTTATAGGAAAAGGAAATGTTGTAGGGAGCATCTATGAAGTTTAGAAAAAGCTAGAGACTGAATCACCCCTTCCAAACACAGCCTAATCCTCTGCTCACACTGCTGTGTTTCTCTTGCTGCTTGTTTTAGTCAAAGCCAGCGCCTCCGCTTCTGTATTTCATTAGTATCCCTGTTTGCATGTCGGGTGTGTGTTTCAGTCTTAAGCATCCTTTGGCTAAATCTTCACGTCTTTGTCCTTCCTGCCAGTGCTTTGGTTCAGGCCCTTAGCTTTCATCTGGAATCGACCCCTTTTCAGATTCGTTATCTTTCACCCGGAATGTCTCACTGCCATCACAGAATCCTTGCCCACTGTAGATGGCTGCTAAACTCTGCAGTGAGGTTTTGCCTGCTGCCAGGCCTGAAGGTGAAGGTTCCCCCACCTCGTCGTTGGCTCCTAGCAAGTGTCAGTTACAGCTCCCCTCCACCTCCCCTCCACCTCCCCTCCATCTCCCCTCCCTGTCTTCTCAGCCCTGGGTCCCTTGTTCGGGTTCCACCGCCCCAGACAGGTGCTGCTTTTTCTTCTTGTCTGCTGTTTATTGGAGCCAAGGCTGCTCTGTCCATCAACAGTTAACCAGCTGCTCTAGGCAGGCTGAGCACAGCCCGTTCGCTCTTTGCGCTTTCTCATGATATCTGAAGCTTTTCCTTTTTGTGTTTTTTAAATGAGAATCGTAAGCAGTTTTCTTTTCACCGTACGCCTGCTGTTGAGGCAAGGCAGCCCCGTTCACACGTAGACTGGCATTTTGGGTTTCTAGCCTGTTAGGAGACTGTCTTGCTTTGGGAGTGGCGCCCACATCTTCCTCCCTCCCTCCCTCCCTTCTTTCCTTTCTTTAGCCTTTCTGTAATTATGGGGATTTGACTATGCTGAAAGGTAAGGTGGACTTGGTTACATCCCTGTGGGTGCCCAGTACCTGTCCCATCGACTTGTGCCTCCTGTACTTGCCCCACACAGGTGGTGGGGCTCCTGAGGCTTTGTTTTTCAGGATGCTGTAGCTGAGAGTTGAGAAAAGCATGTCCTCACCTATTTGCATTTTGCTTTTGGTATTCTAGGTCAGGATGGCTAACAGGGTGGCTTCCTACCTGGTGTCCTACGTCTACATCACACCTTAAAGAAGCTGAAGAGAAAATGTTAAAATGTAAGGTTTTCCTCTTGTAAGTTACTTAACTATTTACTGAAATAGCTCTAATATATTGCATTGTTCAGAGCGTGTGCACACTTGCGTGCACGTGCACGCACACACAAAATTAAGAAACAAAAGAATGGCAAATGAAGCTTTAATAAAAGTAATATCCTCAAAACCTCTGAAAGACCTCCCCCCGGCCCCCCGCCCCATATGCCCAGACGGTATAGCTGAGAGCAGATTCTAGTGTCCCAGGGTCTCATTAGTGGAACACAATCCAGACTGAACCTAGCAACTTGGCCCAGACCTGCTAGGAAGTGGTGACAGCCCTTGGGCAAGTGACCCTCTGTTCCAGCCTCCTGTTCTTCAGCTATGGAGTGAGGGGTGGGGTGCTCTCTGCATTGCCTTTGACTCTACCATCTTTACATCCGCGTTTGTGTTGCCCTGGAGTCCTGTCTGTTTTTCTTCTGAGCTCTCAAATTGATCCAGACTTCTAGTATCTACTGTATAGTTTTGTTCTGATGATAGAATCTACAGGAGTGGGTAAAGTAAGGTCTTCCTCTTGTGGTTGTCTGTCTCTGCTGATGTCCGTCTATCGTCTGTCTCTGCTGATGTCTGTCTCTGCTGATGTCTGTCTCTGCTGATGTCTGTCTATTGTCTGTCTCTGCTGATGTCCGTCTATCGTCTGTCTCTGCTGATGTCTGTCTCTGCTGATGTCCGCCTATCGTCTGTCTCTGCTGATGTCTGTCTCTGCTGATGTCCGCCTATCGTCTGTCTCTGCTGATGTCTGTCTCTGCTGATGTCTGTCTATTGTCTGTCTCTGCTGATGTCCGTCTATCGTCTGTCTCTGCTGATGTCTGTCTCTGCTGATGTCTGTCTCTGCTGATGTCTGTCTCTGCTGATGTCCGTCTATCGTCTGTCTCTGCTGATGTCTGTCTCTGCTGATGTCCGTCTATTGTCTGTCTCTGCTGATGTCTGTCTCTGCTGATGTCCGTCTATTGTCTGTCTCTGCTGATGTCTGTCTATTGTCTGTCTCTGCTGATGTCTGTCTATTGTCTGTCTCTGCTGATGTCCGTCTATTGTCTGTCTCTGCTGATGTCCATCTATCGTCTGTCTCTGCTGATGTCTGTCTATAGTCTGTCTCTGCTGATGTCCGTCTATTGTCTGTCTCTGCTGATGTCTGTCTACATCCGCTCTTCACCCTCTTTAGCATCGATGATTGTCTTGTTTGTGCATCGGGCAATTGCAGAGTAAGTGGCCATAGCTGGTTACATTCTTAGGAGTGGTAGTTAGTCCTGTTATGTGGGTTTTAACACAATGGATTTCTGTTCCATATACCTGAATGATGTTGCTCTACACAGAATCTAGCAGGATTTTTCATTGTGTTTTACCAAGATAAACTTTTTTTTTTTTTCCAAGACAAGGTTTCTTTGTGTAGCCCTGGCTGTCCTGGAACTCAAATTCCCAGAGCTCCACCTACCTCTGCCTCCCAAGTGCTAGCATTGGGTGTGTGCCACTATCAGCCAGTGGTGCTAGATTCTAGATTCCCAACGTGTGTGTGTGTGCGTGTGTGTGTGTGTGTGTGTGTGTGTGTGTGTGTGTGTGTCTAAGAATTGGCCCTGCTCTGATGTCAAACATGAATGTAAGTGAACACCGGGATGAGCCTCTACTAAACATTAAAAGTAATCCTTATTGGAACTCTCAAGCCTGTCTTAAAAGCTGAAGAGGTCTGGCTTGTTTCGAACCCTGATCGGCCCCTCTTCTAAGTGAGGGAGCCCCTTCCCAGTTAAGACAGGGCGTCTGTCACGTCCCTCAGTGCTCGCTGCCTTTCTCTTTGCTGCCGCCATGAGTACAGAACCTAAAGTTAGTTCTTTGTCTAAGGGAAGGAACATGTGACTATCCATATTTCGTCTGTCATACATATGCACAGATGTTTAAGGACATTCCTGGAGTGTAGCTATTCAGTTGACAGTTTAGTATCAATCAGCTTTAGTTTTATCTTTGGCCAGCTTGAGGGGTTTAAACTATCTAGTTTTATGTAATTTTGAACACGAGGGTATTTTCATTTTCTGGGTGGTCGCTTGCACTCGGGGTGCCTCGTGATGAAGTTCTTGCCATGCCCTGTGGTCCCCTTTTCTACTAAGCTTTTTTTTTTTTTTTTTTTTTGGTTTTACGAGACAGGGTTTCTCTGTATTGTTTTGGAGGCTGTCGGTCACAGAGATCCGCCTGCCTCTGCTTCCTGAGTGCTGGGATTAAAGGCGTGAGCCACCAACGCCTGGCCCTCTACTAAGCTTTAAATGGCCGAGCTCACCAGATATGTGTTTAGTGGAGATATGGTTACTCCTTCCCCAAGTTACCAATGACGTTCTGTGGTCCTTTCAAGTTTGACTTCAGTCTCAAATACTGACCTCTCGAGTGCTCTGCAAATTCAAGATGGTATTCTGTTGTTAGTGTCTGCAAAGCTAGGGACCTTAAAGTAAGGGTTAAAGGCCACTAGGCTCTCCTCCAGTTCTCGGCGTGTAGTGCCCTCATATGCTAGAGTGGAGAGAAGTCGGGAGGTCACATATACTCTGGTTATAAAACATGGTCATACGACCTGCCTGGCTGGCTGTGCATTGAGTTTGCCCTGAGAGTACTTGGAAGCAGCGAGACTGAGCGGAGTGCTGTCTGTTTCCACCAGGTGTCCCCTGCACGTACAAGAAAGAGCCTGTCCGCATATCCAATGGAAACAGGATATGGACGCTGATGTTCTCTCACAACCTCTCCAGTAAGACGCCACTCGTCCTCCTCCATGGTTTTGGAGGGGGCCTTGGACTTTGGGCCCTGAATTTTGAAGATCTGAGCACCGACAGGCCCGTCTATGCCTTTGACCTGCTGGGCTTTGGAAGAAGTAGTAGACCCAGGTTTGACAGCGACGCAGAGGAAGTGGAAAACCAGTTTGTGGAGTCCATTGAGGAGTGGAGATGTGCCCTGGGGCTGGACAAAATGATCCTGCTTGGACACAACCTGGGAGGGTTCCTGGCTGCTGCCTACTCACTGAAATACCCGTCAAGGTAAGTGTCAGCAGCAGAGGGGTGTTAGCCTCCGGTTCCCAGTCTCGGTAGTTACTATTGCCGTACAGGAGACGCATTCTCTTAAAATGCCAGATAGACGACCACAACCGGTAACCGACTTTGTAGCAAAGAGAACAATACCAGATTGCACTGATAAGCTTGACAAAGGACATTGTGTTTTTTATTCATAGTTATATAAAATCTAATCTCTAACCTCTTTGGAGACAGGGTCTCACTGTGTAGCTCTGACTGGCCTGGAATTCACTGTGTGGACCAAGATGGCCACCAATTCAGAGATCTACCTGCCTCTTTGTCCCTAGTGCTACAATTAAAGACATGCACCAAAATGCCTGGCCTAATGTGTAACTGACTTTAAGCCATCAGTAAAAATACCATGGTGTTACTGCTTATTTTTACTATAGCAATTAAAACTTTGGATCCAGCAGGCTTTTCTAGACTTTTTGCCAAAGTCTAGTAGAGTACAGTAGAGTATAGAATTACAGAGGTCATGGACATTGAGGCCATTGAGGCTTGTGGGGAGGCACGGGATGGTCATTCTCAGAGTGTCTGCACCGTCCACGGGGTCACTCTGTCTCAGGCATGTGGTCTGCACAGTATTGGGCGTGTGGGGCCATACGCTGTGTTTGCCTCTGCCACAGTTCCTCTTCTCCACAGATTTGGTGTGCCAACTTCTGGTAGATTCGAAGTGCTTTACATGCTTGACAGAGATAGTCTTGTCACTCAGAAGACCTGTTCATTAAAACAGCAACAAAATCTGTCACACTTTCTTTTCTTGGTGGGCATTTTAAGGCCAATTTTTAATTGCATCCTACTCATGGCAACAGAAACTTAATGGTATTTGTGAGAGATAGAGGGAAGGCAGAGCTAAGACAGCTGAGCTGCTTGGGGGTTGACTCCCTGTGCGGGTTATGGCGTCTCTGGAGCTCTGGGACATGAGGCTGGACTGTCACCAAGTTCGACCCTGCAAACCCTAACCCCTTATAGGAAGCTACTGATTGGGAGAACTGGGAAAGCTCATTTGCAGTAGTGAACGCTCTGAAGAAGCAGAGCTTGGCCGAAGCTGAAAAACCATCTGTGGAGAGGATGGCAGCAACTGGTCCCTCATAGCATCAGCTGCACTTCCGACAGTGTGTTAGGAGTGTCTGGGCTGAGCACTGTGGGAGCATGGCAGCAACTGGTCCCTCATAGCATCAGCTGCACTTCCGACAGTGTGTTAGGAGTGTCTGGGCTGAGCACTGTGGGAGCATGGCAGCAACTGGTCCCTCATAGCATCAGCTGCACTTCCGACAGTGTGTTAGGAGTGTCTGGGCTGAGCACTGTGGGAGCCAAACACCACTAAGGTAGTGGTCATAAGTGGAGTGTGTCTAAATTCCTTTTCTTACTATCAGAAGATTGTACTCCACAGGGTTGGACACCCAAGACTTTATCCTTTCTTCCTTCCTTTCTTCCTTTCCTGATTTATTTTATTTTATTTTATTTGAGTCTGGTTTTGTTTTGAGATGGAGTCTCTAATAGCCTTGGCTATCCTGGAATTAGCTGCATAAACCAAGCTAGCCTTGAACTCAGAGATTTGCCTGCCTCTGCTTCCCGAGTACTGGGATCAAAGTTGTGTGCCACCATGCCTGACATAATTGTATTTTTTAAAAAACTCATACTTTTGACTTCATAACATTTGTTAGACCTGGGTGAATTTCAAAATAACCATGATTTCCAGATATCCCATCATGTGACCATCATAAGGAAGTCTCGTAGTGAGTGGAGTTTGGCGTTTGGTGTTTCTAGATGTAGGACTGGGCGCCTCCTTGTCTCCTAGGCTGTTTCTCCTGATCCAGAGTGTCTTATCTGGTGCAGCATCTCTGGTGCGGTCAGGACTCAGCACCAACTAAGCTGGCAGCACCCAGCTGTTCTAAATCTTAGTCTCGATCCGAGCAGCATTTGTGTCTGCCCTCATAAGATTAAAATGAGTCCGACTTTCAGAAGGATGGGGGTAAGGGTATGGGTGAAGGGGAGGGGAAAGAAGTATTCCAGAAGCCACAGAAACTCAGGTATTCAGGTTTTTTTCCTCTCTCTCCACTTTGTTTTGTTCTTTCCTTTGCCTTTTTAGGTGTGACAAATCTTTTTTAAAAAATTTATGTAAATGTAATTTTAAAAATTTTTAAGTAAAATCACGGGGGGGGGTAACGTTTCATTCGGGGGTGCTAAGTGGCCCGGGCCCAGCTGTTTCTATCCATGTCTTATACGCACAGTTTCATTCTTCAGCTCTTTATTTTTGAGGTACAGTTTGAAAAGAGTGAAAACCCCTAGTTTAACGTGTCTACTTAAGAAGGGTTCTTAGAGAAAACAAAGTGGGTTTGTTTTTGTTCAGCTGGTGTAGGGGGGGCATATTTCTAAGTGCCCCTGCCCATCAGCCATTTTGCAGCCTTACTGTGGCAGCGTTCCTGCCAGCTGATAAAAGCTGTGTGCTGTGCCCGTAACTCCTCACGATGACGCCTCGGGTCTTCCATTGAATACTGTTGGCGAACGAAGTGTTCCAATAGTATATTCTGAGATTGGTTGTTTACTGATATTTAGTAACTGTGTGTTTGGGGTGGGGGCATTTTGTTTTAATTCTCTTCTTTAAAATGTCTGAAGAGGCAGCTGAGCTCTGTGTCCACTATAAACTTTGGTGGTTTTGAGTCACAGCGGCATTTCCCCAGATGCTATTAGTCACACCCTACCTAAAGAGATGCTTCAGAGTTCATTGTTGGTGTGTCAGATATATATGCCCGGTTGTGCCGTGCGCAGGAGGGAGGGTGGCTCAGGGCGGTGTGTGCACGGTGCTGTATTGGAATGGCGCTTTAAATACCCACACAGTGGTTCCTCCCCTGGGATGCGTGCTAGGGTGGGGACGTGGACAGTTCTGCGAGAACCCGATCCAGTCTGTGGCCCAATGGAAGTCTAAAGAAATATTTCTTGAGCTAAGATCTAAAAGAGGAGTACTGGGAGGCAGGAGATTATTGTAGTCGATGGGCACGTGTTACCAAGGCCCTTGCCAGCAGGCCCCTGTGCTGTTGAGGAAAGGCCAACAGGCAGAGAGGTTATGGGCTGGCTAATAGATGACTCTGCACTTAGGCACAGCCCCTTGTTCCTTCCCACTTCATCTCGACTCTTTTTGGACTAGTGTGTGATGAGGGGGGCTGCCGCCTGGAGTTCCATTCCTGCATTAAGGTGATGGGTCACAAAGACAGCCGCTTGCTGCCCGAGGAGTCGTGGGCGGTCTTCCCCTCACAGGAGTGAAGCTAGCCAGTGTCGGTGGCCAAGACACCTGCCCTTCCTCTCAACTGTTGAGACGTTGCTATTAGACCCCCTTCCTTCGTGAAGAAACACCTGTGTTGCTGGTGTTTGCTGTGCACCAAGGAAAGGATATGGTAGATGCTTAGCAGGTTGTGTGGTACTATGTGCTGTGGCGCAAAAGTGCGGTCCCCACACCTGAGGGACAGAGGCCACTCTGGGACACACAGTGAGACCTGTCTCAAGAGAGAAGCACATAGACAGGAACTCCCAAGGAGACCCATCCTAGGCCATAGCGGATGCCAGAACTCGTTTCCACTAACAAAGGGTTTTGGACAATGTTATTTCGAGCCACCGCCGCCCTTGCCTGACCACAGGCCTGGGCTGAGCAGCTTCCTGACTCCTCGTAAGAAAAGCTCTTGCTCTTGGCCTGGAGCTGAGGTGCTTTGGTGGCTTCAGGTTCTTCCTTTCTCCCCAGTGGTACAGCGCCAACAGGAAATACCCCAGGCTACCTCCAGTCTGAGAGCGCGCCTTTGTGTATAGTGGATTCTTTCTGGTCATCTTCTTGTTTCAAGGGTGCCCTGTAAATTTCCTGGTGCATTTGAGTTCTGGGACTGATTGTTCTGGTTGTGTTATTCTCGCTGGCAGCTGGCCGAGTCTATGAAAATCAAGTGTGTGATGGGCTCACTTAAACAGAGCACCGTCTCATCCCAGTGGTTAGTATGGATGTGGCCCACTGCTTTGTCCTTAAAGCTGCAAGCTGTCTATGTGACTACCATCGAGAAGAATGCCTTTCTTTCCAAACCCTGATGGCTGTCGTCGTATTCCTGCTCTTCTGGTTCCTTGTTTGTCCTGTAGTTTAATCACACCCTAGCTCTCGAGGAAGATGTCTGATAGGATGACTCAGGTCTGCCATCTTCTCAGGTTCATTCCTTACCCGCCCTATCAGGGTGGGGCCGGTGTAGTGGCTCAGGTCTGTGATCTTAGCTCTCAGGAGGCAGAGAGGCAGGAGGAACACTACAAATGTGAGGCTGGTCCAGCTACATGGTGTCTTCAAAAGATAATAAATAAAAATTTAGAAGTCCTCCAGTGTACCCTCTGTGGAATAGATTTTGCTATGATAGCTTCCCTTACTTGATTCTTACCATGGTAGCCACCAAGTGCAATACTTTGTGTGGTCTGTTGTATTGAAAAGGCTTACGGTGAAAAACAAAGACATTATTTTGTGAGGTCTTTTACATGTAGCTAAAGTGGATGCAATCTAACTACATTTCTGATGTTGGAGGCTTTAAATTTTTATTTTTAAGCATTAGTTGCTGTAAGTGTTCTAAAGTGTGTGTGTGTGTGTGTGTGTGTCTGAATGCTCATGCTTGTTGTATTTTTCAATTTCAAGTAATGCATTTAAAAAAATAAACAACATTGGCTTCTGGCCCTCTGCAATAACTTCTGAAGTTTTATCATAACGAACAGCAGTTACGTGCCATCTTGGGGACCACAACATCCATACTAGACTAAGATGTCACCATAGAACATTTGGATATTGTTACTAAGGACCAAGACCAGACATGCAAATGTTTACCAAGCATCTGCCACTTTTGCCACGCTGAGGACAGGCTTGAACAATCCTGGGTCAGTTTACTGCTTTTCAAAAACAAACAAAAAAGGCTCTTCACCCTGGTTTGTATACTTTACAAAATGTATTAGGCCAACATTTTCCAGGCGATGATATTTTGAAAAGTATATTAAGCAAGGCAAACAAAAACAACCGTCACTTACATAGAGCAAGAAGAGACTCCCCACAAGCACAATGGGTGTCTAAATAAAGAACTCATCTCTTTGTTTGGGAGCTATGTCAGTAGTGAGTATTGCTAGCTTCTTCCTCCCACTGTGTTGGCTGTTTCCAGAAAGGTTGCATTCCATTAAGTCTACTCCTGCTGCTGCATGTCTCTCCCACTATCTCAGTTTAAAGGACTCTGCCATTTTGTTTTCAGAAAAAAAAGTACTTCTGCTCTTTTTCTCGTATACTATTAAAAATATTTTTTAAACTTTTAGGCTTGAAAACACACTAAGTGTGCACAACTGTTGTGTGACACACGGCTCCCTCCAAATCCATAGTTCTGATCTACAAATGGTCTCAGGGCTGTACAGTTTGGAAGACCGTGTTTGAGTGGACTGAGGGTTGGTAAAGTAAAGCGTATGTTCTGTTGCTGTGGATACTTCAGGAATGAAAGCCTGCCCAGTGAGGAGTTGTCCTCTGTGAGCACACTAGAGAGAGGAGTGAGGCTCACTCCTGCGTTCACAACCATTGCATGCCGGTGTGTGCCCACTGTGTGTGATGGGAAGTTAGACTGAGTCTTCTCCACCCTAACCCTAACCCTGTTCTGTTTGGGAAAAAATGCCAAGTAAGAACTGTTACTCATCCCTTTATGTGCTGACAAAAATAATAAAGCAGGTTTTTATGTTAGGAATAAAACCATGTGGAGAGTTTGAGCTGCTTTGCCACTGTTCCAGGTGTGCCTGGGGAGGCTGTCAGAGACACCGACATCTCATTCTTGGGCTACCTGGCATTGGGTGACTGCCCTGGTTACAGCTGGAGATGCTCTTGTGTTAGGGTGGGGTTGTGCTTCAGTTATAACCTTTATGATGAACAGAAGAAACCACACCTGTCACATGGCGCAATCCACACTTCTGTTTTTTCTTAATCAGGATAAGTTTCAGAAGTCAGGAATCACACCTATTAATGGTGGGATAGGTCTGTTTTGTATGAAATTGAAATGAAAATGTTGCTAGTAAAGAAGTTGTTTTGTTGTAAATGAATTAGGAGGAGGATTGTGGCTAGTACACCATGATGTAGTGGGTGGAGTAGATAGACTTGCTCATTTCACCATGTCCCAAACTAAAATTTTGGTATTTTGTTAGCCTGGGTTATATTATTGTCATGTTTGTGCAGAAATCCTAACTTGTCCTAAAATTTTAGAATTATTGCCCCACAAGAGAATAGCCGTTTCATGGGTGTAGTGTGGATGTCCTGTCGTTTCTGCAGTTTCAGTCTCGAGATGCACAGAGCCACTGGGCTCTTTTAAGTGGTCAGTGATGGGTGTCCCCTGCAGAATGTCCTCTCCTCTTCCTCACTTTCCCCCTCTCCTTCTTTTTTCCTTTTAGGATCACAGTTGTGTAACCTACTTTGGTGTGCTTTTTGCTACCTGAGTTTACATGTAAGCAAAGCTTTCTCTTTACCATAAGCCCCTGAAATCTTTCCAGTCGTAAAAGTGGTCAGCAAAAGTCTGGTTAACAACTAGTCTTCAGTCTACCTTGAGTTTGTTCAGTTAGCACTTTAAAGTTAAAGGGTGAGTTTACCAAATGAACTTAAATCTCTTTTGTTTTGTTTTTCCCTTAACAGGGTTAGTCACCTCATTTTAGTAGAGCCATGGGGTTTCCCTGAGCGACCCGATCTGGCTGATCAAGAGAGACCAATTCCAGTTTGGATCAGAGCCCTGGGAGCAGCATTGACTCCCTTTAACCCCTTGGCTGGCCTCAGGATTGCAGGACCTTTTGGTGAGTATTCATGTCCTGGGAAAGAACAGGTTTATGGATGAACAGTAGAAGAGCCTGCTTCCTCCACGTGAGATAGGACAGTGCTGTATCCCATTAAAGCCATCATCAGCTCCAAGTACCTACCTAACATCATGGAGCAGAGCAGCACAGTATGCTGTAGAGCCCTTGTATATGTCTGGTCAAGATGGTCACTATCACTTCCTGTTATCACAAGAGAGTCTGGTCCCACACATCAGCTCAGGAAACCATCAAAATTCAAAATGTGATTGTAACTGAATGCCTGTTGCTCCTCTTCTGCCCTAAGTTGAGGCATCATAAATAGGGGACTATCTGTGTTTACTGATCATCACTGTTAGTTAAAGCCATGAGTAAATCAGACCTCCTGTTTTTTCCTGGTTCTCCCTTACTAAGTGCCAGGCTGAATAATAAGATGAAGCCAACCACTTTCCTTGAGAGGGAGCTGTGATATTGTAAAACATTACGAGTAATTAGCAAAGCAGAGACACAGGGAAATGGTGGGGATAAGGCAGGTCAGTCTCAGCACCTGAAACCCAAGCAGATGCAGTGTCGGATACGGGCAAGAGTGAAGTGTGATGACCTCTGGCGGTCATTTGAGAGTGAGAAGTAAGCAGTCGATCACAACACCTGATTGACGGTGGAGTTGACCAATGTCCCCGTACTCAGATTTCTTCTCTCTTCCTTCATGTCAGTGTGTGAAAGGTAAAACCACCTTTGCACAAACACTTTAGGGACTCCTGATTATTTACTGACTTTGATTGGTGTTTAGACTCTCAGCTCCAATGTCTTAGCTCATAGCTACAGAATTTCCTCTCCTTACTGACTGAGTTGAGGATGGCTGTTGATGTAAGGTTTCTGGCTTGGCAGGGGTCCCACTGCCCTGGAGCCCCAAATAAACACACAGACACTAATTATAAAATTGTTGGCTGATGACTAGGGCTTCTTATTGGCTAGCTCTGTCTTAATCATTAACCCATTTTTATTAATCTAAGTATCTCCATGTGGTCTTATGTTACTGGAGAAAGGTCCGGACCTCTTACTCCTTCCTCCGCTACATAGCAACTGCTCAGTGTCTCCACAGAGAAAAGAGCAATTTCCTGCTTGTCCCTGCTTATATCCTGTTTCTGCCCAGCTACCTCACTTCCTGTCTGCCTGCATAGACCTCCAGATCTCTATGGTTAGCTAGTGGCACACTCCATTCTCTGACCCTCAGACAGGCTTTATTTGTACAAGCAAGGTTTCACCGCAGGAGTGATAAGAGGCCGTAGGGTTAAAGTGGTGAGCATGTCACACTTCTCCAGGGTACAATTTCCCCTCCCATCAGTCTTCAGTCTCTTAAAAACCCTTCCTTCCTGGCTCTCTGGCGCCCTCTGGTCAGCTCCATGGATACTCATGAGATGTGAGCTGACTGCTCTGCGTCACAGACACACAAGTGATGACGACAGGAAGAGGTGAAAAGAACTTCCACGTCTCTAACAAACACTTGGCCAAAGCAGAGGGCAGAGGGCAGGAGCGCACGTCACACACGGGCGGAGGCTGTTCACGTCCTCCACACCAGGAAGCACCCTTTCTAGCGGCCTGCCCCCACCAGCTAGGGCCTGGCTCCTCAGTTCTCCATCGTCTCCCAAAACAGTGCCATCAGCTACACAAGTCTGGAAGCCGAGCCTGTAAGCAGTGTTTCAGGTTCAAACCATAGCAGGCTACGCTAGGCGAGGGGAGGCAAGAGGAGAGCAGGGGAGTGCCAGTTCTCTCTTCCGCTACCGCTTGTGCGAGGGCACGGCCGTGTGACACAGAGAATCATTCTCCAAGTGATGTGAGCCTTCAGAAGTGGCAAAGAGGCGCCAGGCGAAGAAGGAGCATCTTGTCAGAATAGCGAGCGGTGAGCACACAGTGTGCCCAAGGTCTCTGCCCCACAGCACACAGTGTGCCCAAGGTCTCTGCCCCACAGCACACAGTGTGCCCAAGGTCTCTGCCCCACAGCACACAGTGTGCCCAAGGTCTCTGCCCCACAGCACACAGTGTGCCCAAGTCCTCTGCCCCACAGCACACAGTGTGCCCAAGGTCTCTGCCCCACAGCACACAGTGTGCCCAAGGTCTCTGCCCCACAGCACACAGTGTGCCCAAGGTCTCTGCCCCACAGCACACAGTGTGCCCAAGGTCTCTGCCCCACAGCACACAGTGTGCCCAAGGTCTCTGCCCCACAGCACACAGTTCTGTCCCCAAGGATCTCTGCCCCACAGCACACAGTTCTGTCCCCAAGGATCTCTGCTCTTCTTTCTGTTTTCCTTGAGGCCTTGTGACATCAGTGTGACTCGGGAGGGAATACCCGAGTGCCCAGACAGAGTTTATTTTATCATAAAGGAAGAAATTGCATATCTCCTAGTTTGCTTATAACACATTGTTATTGTGTTATTATGGGAGAAAAAGAATACAAGCCAATAATGTGATTGTATGTATATGCTGCTCTCTTCAATGACCTCAGTTAAATTTATTATGCAAAAACAAGTCCTAGGAAATGAACATACTTGGAGCTTCTAAGCACACCTGTAGGTCAGTGTAGAACCCCAAGTCTCCTCTCGTCTGTCCTGGGAAACTTAAGAGTATCTTCAGGATCTATGCTTTTTTCCAGTCTAAAATACATATTTAAAAACATGTACAGATGTGTGTACATAGCACTTACAATATAAATAAACATGACTTTTTATGCTGTAAGTTAACAACTTAGAAGATATATGTTTTTGTTTTCTGTCAAATAGGGTTAAGTCTAGTGCAGCGTTTAAGGCCTGATTTCAAACGGAAGTACTCCTCTATGTTTGAAGATGACACTGTGACAGAGTACATCTACCACTGTAACGTACAGACCCCAAGGTAAGGTTTGTGATTCTAAAGGTTTTTGTTTCTCATGTTTATTAGTTCCTTGAAAAAACTGTACAATCTATTTTGATCATAGCTACCTTTCCCCCAATACCTCCCATAATTACCCCCTTCCCTACTTACCAAAATTTGTGTGTCCCCCCTTTTTTAACCCATCAAATACAGTTGGTGTTGCTCATATATTCTTGGATATGTGACCTTCTACTCGAGGGTGGCTGATCTACTAGGGAACACACCATACAGAAAACTGGGTCTTCCTCCCCCCTTAGCCAATAGCTCCTTAGCCAGAGGTAGAACTTCATGCCCTCCCCCCTTCCAAGCTGGGATTTTTTTCTTGTTTGAGCTTGTGCAGGTCTTATGCGTGCTCTCACAACTGCCGTTAGTTCCACAGCTCCCCTGCTGTGTCTAGAAAATTATGATTCTAAATTTACTGTTCGTGCTTCAAACTTTTCTTTGGCAAATATGTGTTTATTGATAGTTAGATATATTTAAAAGACATATTTCTGCTGCATAATTCTCCGTCTTTTCAAAAAGTGATCATTGTGTAAACATTGTATACTCTGATGGATGTTGTAAATAAGATAGGCTTTCTTCTCCTCAAAGTGTACGGCCCGTCCGAGGACGGCTTAGGTTTCGGAATTTCAAAGACGAGGTCTAGGTTGAGAGAGAAAAGGATTTCACTTCAAGCTTATTTCCCGGACTGAGTGGAAGGCTCCACAGCACAGGTGTCACATTAAACAAGGGAGAGGTTTGCAGAGATCTTCAGAGCCTTGCAGGCACGCGCAAGAGAAAAGGACGGGGCAGCATTTCCAGTCACTTGGCAGTTACCACCCCCTTACTGGGCATCTGCTGATGTCTGCGCATCAGTGCGAGAAGCCTAGCTTCACTGGTGAGGGCTGAGAGGGGAGAGTGAGGTAGCACTCTACTTGCTGACTCAGAGAGGGGAAGGGTACTCAAACAAGTGCAGAGCCGTCAGAAAAAGCAAAGGGAACAAACATACAGGTTTCTGAAACAGGGCTCCTGGGTACCAGCCGCAAGGTAGCAGTAGCACAGTCTGAAGCTGTGGGCACTGGGAGGAGCTCAGGTCCTGTGGTCTGTGGTTTGACAGCCATGTGGTCCCTGCTGGGCGCTTGTAGCCAGCCTGGGATACCAGGCAAGCACAAGGACTCCTAAGCCCAGTTTAAGGCTAACTCCACAGTTCCAGGCTGCATCAGTGACAAATGCTTGAGACCATCCTGGTACGTGCAGGCCAGGGGTGAACACTGTAAGGCCAGGCTGCAGCATGGCCTCATCAGGCAGACCCGGGGCAAGGCCAGGGTGGGTGGGCACCAGCCTCCTCCTGCGCTTTCCCTCCTGCCCTCCCTGTTGGCAGATTAGACCCCAGAACCACCGGTGGGTGGAGCTGAAGCAGCACTGTGTTGGAGTAGGTTAGACCCTCCCTGTGTTGGAGTAGGTTAGACCCTCCGTCAGTGGAGGGGCTGGAGGCTCCTAACCCTGAGAGATCACAGTTTGTGAAGATTCTGCCGTCATGGACTTGCTCAGCACTCTCTAGGGGCTTCTGCTGAGCGCCCATTACTCCCAGCTCCCGTCTCTTAGTTTGAATTGGAAGAAAACTTTGAGTTAGCTACATTATACTACAGCTTTGCTTACCTGAAGCAGTAATGTATGGATTTCCCCTTACATTCTCTAGTAAATTGTTTGAAAGTTTCGATAAACACTTTTCTTAAATGCTGGAAAGTCGATTGTGAGTGTGTTTTAACCGGTGAGACTGCAGTGCAGATTCACCCCAAGACCGTGCGGGCGGCGTGCTTCTCTCTACAGTGGTGAGACAGCCTTCAAAAACATGACGATTCCTTACGGGTGGGCGAAGCGGCCGATGCTTCAGCGGATAGGAGACTTGCACCCTGACATTCCAGTTTCTGTGATCTTTGGTGCCCGATCCTGCATCGATGGCAACTCTGGCACCAGCATCCAGTCACTGCGACCAAAGTCCTACGTGAAGACAATAGTGAGTATGGGACCGGCCTTGTTTTTTGCCCACAGTGAGGTTCTCAGTCTGGGCTCCACTCACAGCCACATTCAGAGACCTAATGTCACAGGGATGGAGGAGGTTTGAGCCACATACGTGTTTATGTCCCAGTAGTGAGTCACCTTTCTAAGGGCCTTCCCAGTCCATAGAGACACTGAGAGACTGGTCCAGGATCAGAGAGGCTCACACCCACCTCACCCCACCCCACCCCCAGAGCAGTATGCACAGTTGGATTGCTTACTGGCTCCTGTATTGGCTCTGGAGTGGAGTTATTAAGATTCGGGGGGTTCTCCTGTTTGTCTCAAAACTTTCTGATGCAGATCTTGGTAGTGTGCGGATGAGTTCCACTCATCTTTTCAAGACTGGGTGGCTCTTGTTTCTGAGCATTGTTGCTTACCCGCTGCTGTGTTTTGCTCACTGGGCGTGCCTGCTCTTCCATTCCCAGGCTATCCTGGGGGCAGGGCATTACGTGTATGCAGATCAGCCAGAAGAGTTCAACCAGAAAGTCAAGGAGATCTGCCACATGGTAGACCAAGCTGCGTGGGGCACCTGCGACTGACGCCATTCTCGAGCAAAGCCCTACAACCACGGGAAGAGTAAGAAGAAAAACTCAAGAGCCAGGCGGTCTCCTGGACTGGACTCTGCACTGTTTCCTGATGACGTCACTTCCACGTTTAAACCAACCAGTGCCTTCTAGAGGAATGGCTTTCCTTTCTCCTACACAAGATTGAAACACACGGAAGTCTTCCAATTTAATAGTAGCCTTAAATAAAGGTTATTTGTCCTTCTGGTGTACTCAAACATTGTGGTTTTTCAGCTGAGACTTTCCTGATTTTTACCTGACTTTGCTAGTTAGCTGCTCTTCATATTTTGGTCTATATGCCAGTTTAACTAAATTACTTCTCGCTGTTGTCTTAAATGCTGTGAAGGTGCACTTTATTTTGTTTGCATGCATTTACCATGTCTAACAACTAACATGGTTGCTCCAAGTATTTTTAAGTAAAAAAAATCAATTTAGGATACTTCACTTTTGAAATGGAGTTTAGACTATTTCATTTTGAAATGGAGTAAAAGGGTAAGTATTGATTAGAAGGATGGGAGTTGATCGCTAGCATTAACTCTTCCGGTTTCCCTGTTTACCGTCTAAGGCTGCAAGGCTGCGTTCAGCACTTTTAGTATGCTGCATGATGACAGACAAGCTGCCACAGCACGGCTCCTTGGAACCCTCTGTGTGTCTTCTAGTTCTAGAGTCTGTGAAATAGTACACACCTACGCAGTCATTCAGGCACTGAGAAGCCTGAACCCAAAGGCTGTCCCCTTTCCTTTCCTTTCCTTTCCTTTCCTTTCCTTTCCTTTCCTTTCCTTTCCTTTCCTTTCCTTTCCTTTCCTTTCCTTTCCTTTCCTTTCCTTTCCTTTCCTTTCCATGGATGCTGTTCTTTTCCAGGAACCAGGGCATGGCAAATGAACAGGTTTCCACGGCTACAGGGCTATAACGACTGTTGTTACCTCCCAGTAAACCAAGTCCTACTGTGTTTCCGTGAACAACTAACTTATATGGTGCTTAAACTGGGTTACATTTTTACCACTAACATTTAAAAATAGGTGGTGCTGTCATGGCTCATGTGTGTTTATTTTTTATTGATTATTATGTTAATCTAATCATTTATATACTTGAATCAAGATTACAAAAAATCTATAATGTTGTTTGAAATGTTTGGCATAAGCTACCATTGAATTTACAACTTTCTCACAGTTTTAAAACGAAGGAAACTTTGAAACTATGAAAAAGCTCCTCCTGGTAGCCAGATGCTGAGAAAGCCTCCTGTACAGAGGAAAAAGAGGGTCGCCCCCAACCTTGTCTGGGAGAAGAGCAGACCACTCAAGTAAAAACTGGGCAGCACAAACCATGTCTTGGTGATTTGGGCTATTGCATTTTCAGTGACTAATTTGGAATTTTTTCTGGAAAATATAAGATTATATCACAGTTAATTAATCGCCAGAAAAATGAGCTGCTGTGTTTTCCACATCCTTACCGGCAGGAGAATGTGTAAATAATACCAAGGCTGGAGAAGCAGTTTCCCAGTGACACTTTATCAGACTTGTTGTTAGATGACATGAGGCCAGAGAGGTGTTTACTAAAAATAGCTTTGTCTTTGCAGTTAGTGTTCTGCATGGCCAAATTCAGACTTGAGAGTGGTTTAAGATCTGGGAGCATTTTTATTTGACACGCCCAGTCTCAATCAGCCTCTGTTAGCTGGAGGAGAGAGTTTCCACCCAAATGTCAAGTGATGCTGCCCTTCCTACAGACGACTGCTTTGCTCTATCGGAAATATCGTGATGCTTCTTAAAACGACTCTTCTTGGTCTATGTGATTTTGTAAAGATCGAAGCAGAGGAGTTTATATTATAATCTGAGAATTCTTGAGAATGTGATGGCTGCTAAATGTTTTTCTTACAAAAGGCCTCTTAACTATATTTTATCTTTACTAAGTTATTTGTACCTTTGCCGTATCTTACCGAAATAAACTCGACAGCGCTGGCACGAGCGGGGCAGCTGTGTGTTTTCTTGACTCTTGGGCACAGGCCCGAGCCGGCTCTCACCCTTTAGCCTTGGCCCTCCATTCGCCAGCTATGGCCAGAAGCTGCCATCTGAGGACCAAGCGCATGCCCATATCGGTAACAGCCCCCAGCTGGGGACCAGGCACAAATCTATATCAATAAGAGTCATGCACAGTGTTATGAATGAGGAAGATCTCTAAGTGGCTATATAGAACATTTCTAAAACATCAAATTTTGAAAACCAAAAAAAAATGCAGAATATTACATGTATATGTATGCAGGCACACAAAAAAATATGTGCATGCATACAGAATAGTCTGTGTCTGAAGTTTCTTAAAGTTATGCTTAACACACATATGCTCATAGATATGTATAGACAGTTTTTGGAAGAAAAATGTGTACTTGAGTTTGTTAACAGTGGTTAGCTTTGAAGAAGGACGCTTCTGTTTATATATATAAACTTTGGAGTCTTGTACATTCATTATGTTTTAATAAGAGCCATATAAAATACAGGGAGGAAATCTTGGTTACTATAAAATAGCTAAGAAAGTAACTGGGATTTTACTGGCTGTGTTGACTTCTGTATGGCCATGTAGATCCATATTGGGGCCAAGGGTCAGATTCAATGTGTGGAAGGCTGCGTGCCAGTTGTTAAAAGTTGAGCTATGAAGTCATAACTTGGAAGCAAAAAAAAAAAAAATACTCTCTCTGTTGTTTTGAAGCAGGATCTTGCTGTGACACCCCAGGCTAGCCTCAAAACTCACAACTCCTCTGCCTCGACTTCCCAAATGTTGGAACTGCAGGCACGTACTAACACACATGTCCTGCTCTCTTGACTTAAACTTGTTGAAAGGGTCCCTGGCACAAGAATACGCATTTCTCTAAATTATGATTTATTTCTTGAGCAGGGGATGTAGCTCACTTAAAGTAGAGTGTCTGCCTAACATGGGCTTGATCTCCAGCACTGATGCCGGTGATCCCAGCACTCGGGGGATGATAGAAGAAGAATCAGAAACTCAAGGTCATTCTCAGCTGTACACTAAGTTTGAGATCAGCCAGGGCTGCATGAGACCATGTCTCAGGAAATAAGAAAACATTTCTTTATTCAGCTCATGTTTGCTAACATATCTCTCGTACTTTTTTTCCCCCTAAAAATTCTCCTTAAGCTTTTTTTTAAAGGTTATATTAGTTCAGTACTGGCTGGATTTATTTACCCAGTTAACAGGCAATGGTCTGGCTTTATGATCACTTTAAATTTTAAATCTGAGAGCTAAGCTAATTAAGAACATCCTTATGAAATTTTTCTGAGTTATTTTGGAAAGTTTTAGTACAACACGTTTCTAATCCTTAAAAACTTGTGCATTCACTTAGGGCTTAAAATGTTTTCATGAAGTCAAGCAGTGGTGGCACACGCCTTTAATCCCAGCACTCTCTAGGCAGAGGCAGGCAGATCTCAGTGAGTTTGAGGCCAGCCTGGTCTACACAAAGAGAGTTCCTGGACAGTCAGGACTACACAGAGAAAGCCTGTTTCCATGAAGTACCTGTTACTGAGGGTTAGGATAAATGAGGCCTGCCCTTTGGCTTTCAATAGATTGCATGCACTCATTTTCGAAGGAAGAGTCCCTCGACTGACAAGTGAGAAGGCGGAGTATTCTTTGTCATGTTGTGAAAAGCCAGCTGAGGAACCTGTGTCTTCCATGGTAGAGTTAGGAAGTCATTAGTCATGGCAGGATGCGGATAGTGCCCTGAACACTGCTGCAGTGTTTACAGTGCTAGTGTGAGCTTGTTTGCCAGTTTTCACAGTCTGGCATTACAGCAGCAAAAAAACAAAACAAAAACCCGATTGGGTGTGGAATCTCGTCCTCCAGACACCAGTAACTAAAGGTATTTAGTCATCAACACATTTCTGCTGCCTGTAAAATCCCAGCAGGTCTTTCTCAGATACCCGGCTCAAGTGATGGTGGTGGGTGGCGGTTGTTGTTTTGGTGTCAAGGGGGAAGAGAATTGAGGCCAGGGCGTGTGGGGAGTTAAGAAGTGAAGAAAAGCCAGCGTGGCATGAAAGGACTGTGCTTGATGAGCTAGCTGGGGACAACTGTTGCCCTCGGTGTTTCCAGCGGCTACAGATACGAGAGTCTCTCACTCTCACACACAGGCCTGCCTCAGCAGAAGTCTGAGCATGGCATGGAGCTGTGCCTGTTCTCAGAGCGGCAAAGTGCAAGCTCAGGCACCTGAGAGTCCTCACAGCTGTCTGCGAGGCAGATGCTCAGCCAAGGTGCTGCTCCTAAGAGGGTAGTGGGGAAGGCCTGGGGAGCTACACTGTAGCATTGTAACAACAGGCACCTTCCCGGGGACACCGGGACATGAGAATGCTCAGAGGTCTCTCAAAAACTACGGATGCCAAACAGCACCTTCCTCCTCAGCCCCGTGCCCCAGGGAGATGGGCAGAAATGAACACTGGTGCTCTGGGACTCCCCCCCCCTTCATTTTACAAGGGCCCTGAGCTGCCCTCCCCCCCCCAACCCTTTGCCTCTTGAAGTCAGAAGGACTGTTGGTTTATTTCCCAGAGTGTGGATTTCCTCTACACTTCCTGGAGTTGTGGCTAAAAAGCCAGAGAAACTCCTTTTCCTAGTCCAAGTGTTGGCCCTTCCCTGCCCCTGCTTCCCAGTGTGTTCCTGTTGTCATTTCTTGATGGCTGTTATGGGTTTGGCCCCAATGGGATCTCACTTGACTCTGTTGGAGGATGGATTCCTGACTCACCCTTCCCTGGTGTCCCATCAGACCCGGCTTGGACAACAGCTCACCCTGTTTCCTCACTCACCTCCTGCCAGCCTGCTGTGACACATCTGGCAAGCTCTGGCTACTGCTACTGTGATCTTAGACTTGGAATCAAGAGCTAGCCAGGGCGTGGAGAGCAGTGTGGTAACAGGCTTATGTCAAAGGGTGGTTTGCAGCCCACATCTTATCAGGAGGTCACACTGCTGCTTCACTCATTCATTTGGGCCTGTTGGCTCTGGCCGGCGGGCCGGGCAGGTCTCCAGAGGCTGCAGCCTACTGTTGGCCTGTTGCCTGGGGATTCTGCTCATCTCAGCACTTGGTGCTAACTCTGGTCAGAGCTGTGTTTCATTGTATCTGACAGGCCCCATGCTGTGGATTAAACTAGGCAAACAAAAGCAAATGGTTTCAAGTTTTGGGAAATGTCAAATTCTTGTAAACTGGGGCAATTCGGGTTGGGGGTGGTGGTGCTTGTAACAACTTTGGATCACAAGGCACCTCAGTATGTCGTTTCACTCAGAACCCCAGAGGGACAAGCCAGGAAGTTGGCAATGCTTGAGGGATGAATGTTTTTCAGACTTTTGCTTTGCTGATGGGGGGGATTAAACTGGGTAAAACGACGTTAAGTTAAAAGGGGCATGGGAAGGGGGTAGAGGCAGCTCACCCCAGAAAGTGGAACATGAACTGTATTTACAATCAAAGTCAGAACTTCCACATGGCTGACAAAAGTCAAGACCCGCCCAGAGACCTCAGAATTGTGTTAAACCAGCCGGTCATGTTTGCCTGGGGCTGGAGAACAGATGTAACCTTTGTGTTTATCAGAATCAATAACCTCTCTACCCCCAACCCTGAAAACTGTGCCTCATCTACAAGAGAGAAAAGTCCTTTGAGAGAAACAGTAAGCCAGCTCATATGTTTTTATTTAATATTTAAACTTTGCTTAGTCTTTGAACCGGATTGTAAACTTCGTGCCATCTGAGCACTGTGCCTTTACAAGCCACAAATCCTACAGGCGCAGTCGGAGCCCCTCCCCTACGCCCTGTCGGATGGACTGCCTCAAGTTCATTCTACTTGATGAGCCCGGGCTGCTTCACACTGGGTCCTCCCGAAATCCTTTCCTGTAGTAAAGCCAAGCTCCCAGTTTGGTGTGAATGGATGTCTGGGGGGGGGGGGAACAGTCCTCAGGCTACTGGTGGCTGCATTTCTACCAGTCATGGCCCCCTGGACCCCCTCCCCTCCCTTCATGCCTAAGAGGTGATGCTCCAGAAAGGATCCCTCCACACCTGAACCCGGCATTCATGAGATGGAGCCCAGCGTGGCGGTGGTGCCCAGTCTCCTTGCCGCCCAGAGGTGGGCGAAATGGCACCTGTGATCTGAGAGTCAGCATCATGTGACTGACTAACTGCTGCCCGCCTGGTCACCTGCCATCTCGTCACCATTCCTCTCTGACCCACGGCTCCAGAAATCAGTCATCGAGTGATTCATATACAGAGCAGCTTTGGCTGTCATACTGATCTGGGGACCCAGGAAGGAAGAACAAAGGAGGCCTCAGGGCTCAGTGTGGTCTCAACACCTATCCAGTAAGAACCCACCCTTCACAATGGGCCAGGAGCCCCCGGAGCACCCCTATACCCTGCACACACACACACACACACACACACACACACACACACACACACACACACGTGGGCCTGGATTCTGCTTGCACATCCTACATGCTTTTTAATCTGCTTGGAGGGTTAGAATCCCTTTGCTAAGGTAAACTCCTAGTATTACTGGGAAACACTAGAGAACAAGCTGGCCTACTTGCCCTGGGTGTGTCCCCCTCTTTCTCCTCATTCTCTTCTTTCACTCCTCTCCCCTCCCCCTTTGTCTTTAATCTAGATTTTTCTCCCTATTTATTCTCTCTGCCCAGCAGCCCCCGCCTATCCCTCTCCTGCCTAGCTGTTGGCCATTCAGCTTTTTATTAGACCAATCAGTCGCCTTAGGCAGGCAAGGTGAAACAGATGCAACACATCTTTACACAATTAAACACACTCCCTTACATCATTAACAAATGCTGTATAAACAGATGTAACACAGCTTTACACGGCTAAAGTAATATTCCGCAGCATAAACAGATGTAACACAGCTTAAGTAATGTTCTGCTGCATAAACAGACGTAACACATCTTTGCCCAGTTAAAATAACATTTCACAACAATGGGCAAAGCACGGCTCATTGGAAAGGACGCCACGGACGCCTCTGTTTTCACCGCCCGTCTTGAGACCTCATACATTTTGGATTTCATCCTACGGATAGCATGGATTTGTGCATAAATTGAGCGCAGGCATAAAAGGGAATGAAGTGAGATAAAGTAAGACAGGACCAGGCACATTTCAAAGGGAAATGAAGCCCACAGCACACAGCTAGGGTCTGGGAACCAAAAAATCATCTCACCCCCTTTATAATTACTTTCTGTGTAGTATTGCCAGAGATTGCAAATAACAGGGTCAGGCGGGTGTGGGTTACAGGGGGTCAGAAAATTATAGACATGACAAAGGTGGACACCTCTGTTGCTCAGCCACATTTTGATGAAGATCTTACAAAGCTGCCAGGGCCCCGGCAAGTGAGCAGATGTGTCTGGAATGATTAGAGGTGTTCTGCGTTCAAAACAGCAATACCAGCACAGCTAGTACTGTAGCCCATGCCACAGACTTCACTGGAGAACACAAGTAAGGCACGGACACCTTCCTGCAGATTCTGTCTGTTTGCAGGCAAACACCTGTCCCTAACTCCCTGGTTGCTCCTTCTGTTGAGCTCAACTACGAGACAAACCCCACTGTCGAGGCGCAGAGACTGCACCTGACCTGGAGGTTGGCAAAGCTGAGGCAAGAGGGTGGCATCGACCAGAAAAGAGCTGGTGGTCACTCTCTATGTTCACCGTAAGAAGCAGTATCGATGGGACACTCACCACAGCCTTCCCACGCGGTGTCCCTTAATCCTTGGAACAAGCCAGAGGGAGAGTTAAGTTTATTTCACTGTAGAGGATCCAGAGACACAGCTCTTGCTGGGAGCAGATGTTGGTGGAATGGGCAGTGGCAGGGGCAGGGGGCAGATGGCCTTTTCGGGGCCAGCTCCTGCTGATGGTAGCTGCCACCTGACTTTCACCCACCTCCCTTCTGAGGGTGGCTGTTGGAGTCTTCTGCCTGGAGATATAATATGGGAGATGAGATAAAGGAAACCTACTCCCTGACAGAGACAGGGGGTGAGAAGTATCTGACAGGAGGTTTAATCATAAACAGGAATGCATCTAGTCCATCTTTGCTATAAGATAGTTGGCTTTCAAGTCTAGGATGGAGGCAGGCTGGTTTGTCAACAAGAGGCATGAATACTAGGCTGCCTCCTAGACATTCCAAATAGAGAGGCCAATCACTTTTTTTTAAATTTATTTAAGAGCAGAATACCAAACTATCCATTTTTAAAACAAATCACTTGAGATGTTCTCAAGTTGTGGGCAGTAATAGCGGGAAAGTCAAGCAGGCGTCACCCAGTGAGACTGCAACCTAGCATGGGTGCCGGGGACCCCGGGCTAGAGCTGAAGGAATGACCAAGAGATTTCCAGAGAGAGGCCACACACTTTCAGTGGTCAGGATGGTTCAAAGCAAGAATTATCTAAAAAAAGTTGGAAATTCTTTTTAAGGAAGACGGTTTGAACTTAGATTCAAACCATAACATAGAGAAAACTCAGTGTGAAATTCTGAGTTACCCACCACGGGCTCATGTCTTGAGAGCTTGGTCTCCAGTTGTTAAGAGAAGCTTTTTCCTTGAGAAGGAGCCGTTCCGCCAGCCTGGTTCCAGAGCCGCTTTCCCGCCAGCCTGGTTCCAGAGCCGCATCAGTCCCAAATAAACACACAGGAGGCTATATTAATTATGAAGCTGTTGGCCTTGCTTGTTTCTTACTGGCTAGCTCTGACTTAAGTAATTACCCCATAATTGTTAATCTAAGTATGTCTCTTACCGGAGAATAGTTCCGGGATCCTACCCCATGGTGTTACATCTCGAACTCTCAGTGTTTCTCCTATCCAGAGTCCTTCTAGACTCCTAGTCCCTCCTATCTAGATTCCCTATAGGCTCAACAGTACTTTATTGACAAATGCACAGGACTTCCCCCAACATCCAGTGGGTGCTGCCACTTGGGGAACCATTGAGAGGCGGGACCTAGCCCGGCAGAAGTGGGTCACAGCTGTAGCCAGGCCCCGAATCTAGTGCCCTCTCTGCTTCCCGGTCACCATGTGAGCTGTCTGTCTCACACTCCTGCTGCCGGGGATGGAGACCGGTCCACCACGCCTTTCCCCTCGGTGGTGGGCTGAAGTCGCCACAATAAGCCTTTCCTCCCATAAACTGTCTACTACGCTGAGTGTTTGCTCACAGAAAAAAGCAAAATGACTAGCATGTAAGAGGGGAACAAAGAGTGGGCATTCCTGCTTTAAAAGGCCTTGTATCACAGTTCATTCCTGCCTCCTCCCTGTGCAGTGTATGATTTGTGCTCTGCTCTTCAGACTGCCATGGCAAGAAGAAAAAAGACTTACACTCTAGAATGTCCTATCTGGGAATGGTTGACCCTGGGACCCAGAGAGGTCCCTGCTTTGTGGTGGGGGTGACAAATTTTAAACAGGCCTCAAAAAAAGAAAGCGGGGGCACCGTTCACTTCTTGGACAGCCAGGGCTCCTGTGGCCATCAAAAGGACACAGGGTCTTCCGATGGCCTATTTCCCAGAAGGGGAGGGAGGCGGGCCCACTACCTGGTGATCCGACTCTGTGGAGCTTAGCCTCCTTATCTCATGGCTCTTAGCCATGTTGGCATTGCATCACAAGGCCTCATGGGGCAACAACAGAATGGCCCGTCTAAGAATGGACCTGGAAAATGACAGGCCTTGCTGCCTTGGAACTCCGTTCCTGGGTTCCCCTGAGCTGTTGGGAGTGCAATGCCGAGATAAAAATCGGTTAACCTTTGGCCACTGTCTCACCACCTGCTGCTTCAACAGATCAAGGGTTGAACAAAGCACAGGTGAGAGTTGACAGTGTGTGCTGACTGTCAGGTAAGACGGAAGGCCGGTTCACCAGATGTGCTCCATCCGTGGAGAGCCACCTCTGGGCAGAAGGTCTGGCTCAGCAAAGGCTCACTAGCACGTTCATGAGCTTGGAGGCAAAGGACACAAGGCTGGACAAAGAGACTTGGAGATAGGAGGGGACAGGCTAGGGAGAGCCCAGGGAGGTGCCAGCCTGAGACAGAAAAGGCGTTTCTGGGGCCGGGAGAGAAGGCTCAGTGAATGCTTGCATGCACTTGTGAGGGTCTGAGTTCACATAAAAACTAGGTTCTGGGAGTGGAGGCAGACATCCAGATGCCTCGAGCCAGCTGTATTCAGTGAGAGACCCTGTCTCACAAAATAAGGTGGCGAGGAGCTGGAGAGATGGCTCAGAGGTTAAGAGCAGTCATGGTTCTTGAAGAAGACTCTGGTTGGGTTTCCAGCACCCACATGATGGCTCACAACCATCTGCAAACTCCAGTTCCAGGGGATCCGGTACCCTCTTCTGGCCTCCCAGGGTGCACAGTCACACATGTGGGCAAATATTCATGCATATAAATCTTTAAAAAAAATAGGGTGGGGAGCGCTGAGAAAAATATGTGGTATCAACAGCTCACATCTATGTGCATCCCACACAGTTTTACATGTGCACAAACAGGCACACACACACACACACACACACACACACACACACACACACACACACTGAAATAGAAAAGACTGCTTTGCAAAAGTCTAGCCTGCTGTTCTGGGAGGTGCCAGTGCCAGCTCCAGGGAGAAACAGCAGCTTCTCTTCCTGCATTTTTTTTTTTACTTTTTTTTTTTTACTTTTTTTTAAGATTTATTTATTTATTACATATACACCAGATTGAATTGTAGATGGTTGTGAGCCACCATGTGGTTGCTGGGAATTGAACTCAGGACCTCTGGAAGAGCAGGCAGTGCTCTTAACCTCTGAGCCATCTCTCCAGCCCCTCCTGCATTTTTTTTAAGCTCCTAGTCCTGGCTGTGGGTCCAGCTGAGGACCCAAACTACTCCCCAGGAAATCACAATGGAGATGAACTCTGGACTTTGTTTATTTTTTCAGGAAAGGACAACAAGAGAGAATGTTCTATGAAAACATCCAGAGGAAGAAGCCTTCCCGTGGGTCCCAGGGTTGCCTTAGGCCTGCTCCGGGAGACCAAGAGACGCCCCAGGTTACAGGTTCCATGTTAGAAGCATGACCTGGCCTCAGCCTCCTGACTTGGACTCTCCCGGAGTGCAGGAGAACATTCCCTGGGCGAGGTGGATGTGCAGCCTGAGCCGGGAACACAGCCTTGGGATCCAGCAGGGACTTCTACTGTGTGTGCCCCAAGCTGCATCGGGCCTCTGCCTTGCTGTGGTGGAGAGGGAGAGGAATTGTTGAGGAGTCAAGCGTTCATGACCCCACAGAGCAATGTTAATGCCCTCTCCAGCCACACAGGGACCCTTGGGGGTAAATGTGACCAAATGACAGTGACCAAATTGACAGTGGGTAAAGATGAATCAACAACCCTCGTTCAACCCCTGGGACCTTCATGACACAAGGAGAGAGCCGACCCCCACATGTGCCCCGTGGCAACCCCCCCCCCAATCACTAAATAAACGTTTAATTGAAAGTTTTCACAGTTGTCCTACTGTCTTCTTTTCTTCCCTATTAGGTAAAAGCAGATTTGTCATCTCAGATTGTCCTTGAACTCACTGTGTCTCACAAGCAATCCTCCTGCCTCTGTCTCTCCAATGCTAGGCCCGAAAAGTATGCCACCCATACCCGATCTACCATCTTGGTTTCTTTTTTTTCCTCCCTTCCTCCCTCCCTCCTTCCCTCCCTCCCTCCCTCCCTCCCTCCCTCCCTCTTTTCCTTCTTTTTGTTGTTGTTGCCAGAAATCCGACAGGCCGTGCCATGCTATGCTCAGAGGACTGCCTGTTTCCATCTTCATGCTTCAAATTCCATGCACAAAGCCATTGTGGGGAGAGATGGGGGGGGGATAGCATTCAAGCAGAGCAATAGGGAATACGAAGTAAGTGCCATAGCTGTTTAAAGAGCATACAAGCCTAGAATATTCTAATGCTCCACACTGAAGACAGAAATACAGACGCACAAAGTGCGAGGTGCGTTTTAGGCCACAATGACCAAGGAGAGGGTTACATCTTGAGGTCATTCAGCTGGAGCACTTGAAAAACATCAAAGCCTCAGGACTATTTGGTGTTTGGTAAAATCCCCATTAAACCTACCTGGGCCCAGAGCTTTCTCTTTTGAGAGCCTCTGACTACAAATCCAGCCTCCTCGACTGCTGGCAGTCCCGAAACCACTAAGTAATCCGAATGCGTAATTTTTTTAAATATAAGTTTTTATTGATTCTTTGGGAACTTCGCATCATGCACCCCAGTCCCAAGTCCTTTCATATCTGCCCTCCACCCTTGCAACCCCCTCCAAAGGAAACTCAAAACATAAAAACAGCAACAACAAAATCATCTCAATGACCCACCTGGGCACAACCTGCTCCTCTACCAGCCCGAGCCTTCTCCTGCTCCTGTCACAGCTGCCTCCTCTTCGTTCTGTTGGGCACGCATGGACTGCTCCACTCCTCCATCCTTCCTGCCTGCCCAGCACACGTTAGTTTATCGTAGTGGCACTGGAATCTGCGGGGTGCCACACAGTGTACCCCTTTGCACAAACAGGCTTTGCTTGCAAATGTTCATTGCAAGGAGTCACTGGTCTGGTTCGAGGCCTCTGACTTCTGCTGTACCACGGTCAACACCGAACCCTTGCTGAGACTCATCTCAGCCACCCTGCTGTTGTCCTGCCTCATGCATTCACCCCAACAGCTACCTCATCTGTGAGTTACTGGAACACTTGCAGGGGCCAGCCTTCTGGATCCACAGCTGCAGGATCAGGGGTAGTCTGGCATGCATTAGGCCCTGAGTTTGATCCTCAGGCCACCAAATAGATAAACAAAATACAGGCTGTGGAGGTAGCCTGTAAGCCATAGGAACTGTGGTGAAATGGGTGAGTTGTTCAGCTTTGGAATGAGGCATTGTGAGATCTCTCTTCACACAGGCTTTTGGGAAGCAGCTGGTCTAAAACTGAGGGATAGGGTGGGCTGGATCTTCATGTTTGGGCAGTGGTCAGGGAGCATAGGTCAGTGACAGAAAGCTTGTCTGGTGTGCTGTAAGGCCCAGGGTTCAACCGCTAACACCACGGAAATAAAAACAGATCTGCTAGGAAGAGGGCGCCTGTCAGGCAGCAGGGTTGCTGAGGAGTGAGGGGTGATAGGAACCCAGCCTCAGGCTAGAACCCTGGGAAGCGTGCACATCTAACAGTCCGTATGCGAAATGTTGAAGGCTGCACTGCCAGACTTGGGGCATTCCTCCCTGAGAATTGAGAAAGTGGGAACTGGCAGGCACAGGATTTTTGAAGGCGAAATGTCCCATTGGCGTGGTCCCCAGCTGGTGGGATTGTTTGGGAAGGATGTGGAACCTTTAGGAGGCGGGGCCTCACTGAAGGAAGTGGTCACCAGGGGTGATCCAGGAGGCTTGTAACCTGACCCCACTTCCCATTCCTCTTTGCTGCTGGGGTATGGATACAATGTGACCAGCCGGCTTCCTACTCCTGCCACCAGGCCGTCCCTGCCTGTGGCGGTATCTTCCCAGCCATGATGAACTATACCCCTCCAGAATGCTAAGTCAGAATAGCCCTTTCTCCCTTAAGTTGCTCTTGGATGCTCTGTCAGTCACAGGGACTAGAAAGAAATCCAGGCACTTAGTGTGGGTAGACATCCTTGGCACACAATCCATGCAACACTGGGTACATCAACGAGGATTGTTACTGCTGGGGTATTTCTTAAAGCTATTTGAGAGGAAAAATATCCACAGAGAGCCACATGTGTGGCTGGACTCGTAGATGCACTTCAGACAAATCAGAGCAAGACGCTCGCAGCACCTTCCTGTGCTTTCTATTTCTTACCCGAAGCTTTGATCTATGTTTTTATATTTATCTTTGTTATTCGGCTCATTTCAAAGGAGAAGATGACTTCTGTCCACTCACCAGTAACTTCATAAAACAAAGAGGTGAAGGTAAATCAAAGAGGAAAGTCTGCCAAAGATGTAACAGCAGACGGGCTGGAGAGAGGGCTCCGTGGTTAGGAGCACTTGCTGCTCTTGGCCAGGATGCAGACCCGATTCCCAGGACACACACGCTGACCTTACGTCACTCTCACACACATAAACACAAGAATTAAATAGATAAAAAAATTAAAAGATGTAAGAGATGCAAGGATGCCTGGTAACTGATGAATAGCTTACCACCACGGGCAGGATTGCACCAAACTCACCGAGAGCGCAGGGACGGACCATCATCACTTAAAACAGCGGGGGAAGGATGCTTGCTCAGGTCACCAGAAGGGACAAAGAAACCAGCCAGTTCTCGAAGCTCTCTCGAAGACCCGTGTGCAGACACAATAGTGGCAGCTACACTCTTCCACCCTTTTGGGAAGGCAATTTAGCAACTGGTGTCAAGAAACTCCAAAACTTGAGCCTGTGCCCTTTCACCCAGGAACTTGGATTCTAAGAAGCTGCTGGAGAAAACAGACATATTGGGGTCAAAGGTTCACACAGACATGTTTGTCTCTGTGCTCCCATGATAGGGAAGGAACAGGATATGCTAAATGCTGGCAAGTTAGGGTTTCGTAAACAATTCACAGAACGTGAAATGAATGCTAAGAGGCCACTGAAACTGCACTTAGGGTTCTTAATTACATTGTAAAATATTCATGATGTCAAGGGAGAAAAGGGATGCAAATATGCATAAATCACACATTTTCACTTACATTTTTTAAATAAAGTGAACAAAAAGAAATACACAAAATATTAGGAGATCAACATGTGGGTGGTGGCGGGTGCATTGACTGGCTAATGCAGATACATCTTTCTTGAACAGCTCAAACTTCAATAGCAAGCACACTCATTTTGTACTATTGACTCTTTAAAAATTTTTTTCCTTGAGCTTAAAAACCCTTTGTGACTACAAAATTAAATCAACTCTGAAAAATTAATTAACTCGAACAATGTGTTGAAATAATTAAATTGATAAGAAAAGTCGCTGAATTTTTTAAAAGGCACTAGGACTACTGTGAATGTACACGTTCTGGGTACAGAGAAAAGTATTAGTTTTAATGAGAGGAAAAGCAACGGGGATGGACAACTAGCCCAAGCAGAACCAGTGTGATTGGGGGGGGTGGAGGGGTGGGAAGAGAGGGGGGGGAGGGAGGGAGAGAAGGAGAGAAAAAGACTGATAGAGGCAGAGACAAATAAAAACAGAGATGATTTTGTCTTTTTAAGAGACTTATTTTCATTTTATGAGTGTCTGCATGTATACATATGCACAATGTCTGTGTAGTGCCTGCAGAGGTCACAAGAGGGCATTAAATCTGCTAACACTGGAGGCACAGGTGGTTGTGAGCCACCATGTGGGTTCTGGGAACCAAACTTGGGTCCTCTGTAAGAGCAGCCAGTGCTCTTAACAGCCAGAGCCATCTTTCCAACCCCAGACAAGAGTCAGGGGAGCTTTCAGGAAATGGTAATCCTACAGTCAGTATCATTGATGGCTGCTTGAACACGTGAGTGTTCATACCAAAGCCCAGCTTCCTGGCTGCTTCCCCGAAGGTTGCAGGGGAGCCTGTTGGGCAGAGGGTCTCCATGCAGAGCGTAGTACTCAGATCATGGGACATTTTTAGTGCTCTCAACTCCTTTGAAAGTGCCCTAAATCTTTTACCACAACACATACTGAGGACCAACATTTGGGCTGCAGAGGTCTGGAGAGAGGCTTAGGCCTATGGTTCTGGTGTTCGTGGAGGAATCAGATAACTTTGGCTCTACTTGTGACTCAGATCTGATTCTTGCAAGCTCCCAGGAATTGTCCCTCCTCACGCTTATGGCCCCCTCTACCCTGAGGTCAGGGGCAGAGCAGCCTCTGAGACACTGTTCCATGTTATCTCTAGAGTTTTTACTGGGAATGGGCAAAGGGTTGGTCACGTCATGGGTAAGCATGAGGACCCTGGCACAGGGGAAGCCAGCCATCACTGAACAGGAGCCCTGAGAGAGTACAGGCTGTATTAGGAAGGGTTCTGAGCAAAGCACTTGTCTGTTGCCTCAGTTTCCCCAACTGTCGAGGGGAAACGATGACCCCGGCTGCCTCTGTCTCCTTTTTCGGGCTTACAGAGATGAAACAGGAGAGTGCCCGTGTGTTGCAGGATATTTGATTGCACTGTGAAACTGCCAGGCTGTGTTAATAACATTAACCTTGGATCAGGGGGCACAGCCAGTGACTAGTTGACAAGAGTTAGCCATAGAGAGTACAGGGGACCTGGGAAGATGTATAGATAGATACACAGGAAGGAGTAGGGAGGGACTTAGGCATTCATGGTCTTTTTTGGTTTGGGATGGGTGGAGAGACACTCTCTTGCTGGGTCTTTGGCAAAAAAGGAAGGTCAACTGGCCCCTTGTTGGCTTCTCTGATCTAGCAGGGTTTCACCCCGGCATCTGACTCCCAAGTCTTTACTTGGTAATAGAACTACTTAGATAAAAAACAACACCTGTGGTGAATACGATCTGAACACACCACACAGGGCAGACTGAGTTCCATCATCACCAAGTGCGGGATTCTGTTACTTCCAACACAACCAGGAAGATTTGCGGTTTCCCTACAGCAGAATTCTCTGACTCCAAGGTGCCAATGGTTCTACCAAAAAGCACAAATCTGTGAAAAAGATGCATCCGGGTGATGCATGCGTGTGTGTGTGTGTGTGTGTGTGTGTGTGAGAGAGAGAGAGAGAGAGAGAGAGAGAGAAGAGATGAAGAGATTCGGGCATTATGCTGCCCTGCCCCTGTCACCTGGCAGAATGCATTCCATCAGTATCCAGATCAGCCCAGGTGCAAAGGACCCCTTTAAAAGAAAGACCTCTGCCCACTTGCGCTCTCTCTCTCTCTCTCTCTCTCTCTCTCTCTCTCTCTCTCTCTCTCTCTCTCTCTCTCTCTCTCTCTGCTCTTTCCCGCTGTTCCCCTGGGGCAGACAGGACTTTTCCTGTCTCCCTCTTCTCTTCTGTCCTCTCTCTGTCTCTGTGTCTCTTTACCTCTTTTCTCCTCCCTGCCCCCCTTTCCCTTTCTAATAAAACTTCTCACTTAAGCTGTCTGTCTGGCGTGTTTGTCCCTCCCCCTCACTCACCCTCACCTGCCCCTGCCGTGGGATCCGCCAAGGTCCCCCCCCCCCGGCCTTATTCATAAAACTAACCCTGTGGGAAGAGATGGGAGGTGACCGGCCCAGCAAGGGAGAAGTGGCATTTCAGCCAGGATAGAGGATGTCTAGCTGCCTCTGCTACCATCTGTGGTCTGGGGGTCAGAAGGAAGAGAAGGGCCAGGGAGACTTGGGGGTGGAGACCAGGCCAGATGCTGGGCAGACTGAGTCACACTGGGGTGTGTAGTTAGCGAGGTGAGCACAGAGAGGAAAGACCCTCTTTACTCGACCTTCCCGATGGCCGGAGACAGTGAAGGGTGTCCCTATGTCAGACGCAGCCAGCCTCTCTGTCCTCTCCTCTTTCTCTTCCGCATCAAGTGAACAGCAAACCTAATTCTGAGCTGACTTGCGGGGTGAGCAAGCAGAGGGTGGGTGAGGCACCCCATCTGTGGACTCCCAGGAAATGAGAAGCGTCTGGCTGAGTCTGGAACACACACAGAACCTTTGAGCTGAGCAGAAGAGGGTGGGTGCAGGTAGGAGTGGGCTGGACTCAGTGCCTTGGGTCTGAATAGCTCAGGGGGCTCAACTCTGGCACCGCAGGGAGCCCTCCTGGATAAGCTGAAACTCACCTATTGTCATAGTTGTATCAGGGAAGCTCCAGCTTCAGGGTTAGCAAGATCGAACCCGCCCAGCTCAGCGAAGGAGAACTTCCCCAAATAAAACAAGAAATGTCCCAAACCCTTTTCCTTGTTAGCCATGCTTGTTGTCCCCACACCCTAGATCCCTGGTCCACCTCATTCACACACCCAGGACAAACTCAAACCGTCCCCCACAGACCCTCTCCAGCTGTACGCGGGATTATGAAAGGGAGAAGCTGGGCTGGGGAGGGTGGGGGTTGAGTCCAGGGTTCAGTCTTGCAGGGGAACATGGAGTATGTGCTGCTTCTTGTCTCCAAGAGACTGCATATTAACTGGTGTGCTCTCTTGCCTTACCTATCCTGGGATGGATTCCCCAAAACAGTAGAAGAGGAGGAGAGATCTCCTCCTGCCCTGGCCTGCACCCCCAGGCAGTTCTCACAGCTGTAAATGCCTTGGTGGTTCCCTCCCTCTGCTCAGAGCGAGGGGCTGAGGAAGGTTAATCCTCGCACATCACAGATGCTCACTTTCATGCAGCTGCAGAAAGAGAACAAGGAACTCACAGCTTCAGTCTGATCAATTAACTTACATCCTTCTCAGAGAGGTTTGAAAAGGAGAAAGTAAAATTACCAGGCTAAAGAAAGCCCTTCCAGGGGCTTCTGAAATTCAAAGCACTTTATCTGCCATATTGTATTCCCCGGCTTCGAGGGGCCACATGATGTTTGATGGACTTCGGGAGGGGCCCTGAAACCCCTGGGGGACAGTCAGCAGGTCTCACAAGCCAGACCAAGCTTGACCTGAGCTCCCTGAGCCCTGATGGGGATGGGAGTTGGGGTGTGTGTGGGGGGGGCAGTTCCAGGTCGGGTCTCCTGTCTATCCTTACACTGTTCTCGATAGAGTGCAGGGACAACACTGACACAACAAATAATAGAACTTGAATTCGAACCCCGGCCCTGCTGCTGACAACCAAGTGATGATCTGAGTCTGCGTGCCACACAGACCCGGAGATCATTGTAATTTGCATAAAAGTATTTTTTTTTTACCAGGGCCAGGGAAATGGCTCCGTGGGTAAAGGGTGCTTGGTTATGCCAATCAACACAGACATAAATTCTGGGTCTGCCTGATTCCTGGACTCCTCTGTCAGTGTTGGAATACAGATGGTGGGTGTAGACCCCCTCCTCCCTTCTACCCCACGGAAGGCACAGCCCATGCGGATCACAGCACCTTTGAGCTGAAAGGACCCTTACTCTCTTTACCCTGTGGGAGCTGGGGGTGTTCACATGTTGGTTGCATTGGCCTCATTAGGTCTTGATTAGTTGGAGAGGTGTTTTTTTTTCAAAATTTTTTTTGGTTTTTCAAGACAGGGTTTCTCTGTGGCTTTGGAGCTTGTCCTGGAACTAGCTCTTGTAGACCAGGCTGATCTCGAACTCACAGAGATCCACCTGCCTCTGCTCCTGGGTGCCGGGATTAAAGGTGTGTGCCACACCGCCTGCCTAGCTGGAGAGGTTTTAAACGCTTTCGGGTGAAGAGACGATGTGGGGCCTGGCAGGGAGCATGGGGGAACATAGTACACAGACTTTCTGACTGTCTCGGCCACTTCTAAAGAAGCCACCTCACCCACCCAACAGTAGGC